AATTCTTGTGGAAGAATAAAAGTGTGGTCTTGATTATACCCAAGTACTTCTTCAACAGTTTAGTGAATTGGTGGGTGAATAGCAGAAAAAATGAGAAGGCAGCACTGTAAAGACTTCATAATACCCAACAGATAGTCAACGCGCATGTTATAGATAGGGAAAAAAAAGAAATGGTGCCTAGCATGGGTCTACAAAGCAAACCCATAGCCCAATACAATAATTCAAAATGCGATAACTTCAGGAGTGAGTCTACGTACGGCTACCGGGAAGATTGGGATCAGAGTACGATAATGACGTGGGTATCGTGGTTTATGTAAGATAAGTGGAAGGCAAAGCATGGAAAGACAATAAACTGGCAAGGGCTTTGGAATAAATCCAAAATCCTAAGTTCTCTCAATTGCCTGACCTTGATTTATATGGTCATTGTAAGCTAGCATTAATGGCATCAGTAGTTGAAAGTTGAATGTGAAATTGATAAAAAAGATTAGTTCTAAGACAAAAGCTGTTGAAGTAGAGAAGTTTCACAATTTTATGAAATATGGCGGTTACAAGTATGTTATGGTAGATTCGGTTATTTGATAATAAATATCTGCTTGAACACACCTTTTTAAGCAACAAGCAGGCTGTCTGGAGGAACCTCGTAACTACGACAACAATTCCGATTCCCAAAGAGGATGTGAAACTCTATTCCCTATAAAACCTTTACTACCCGCATAATCTCTACTTTATCAACACACTACTTCCTTTAAGAATCAATTCTCTCCATTGAAGAATTTGAGACCAGAGGTAGACAGGAGAAGCTGAGATAGTACTAGTTCTTTAGTAAAAATCTGGCTGTTGGGTGTAGTCTCTGAAATTCTTTGGACTATATTCACATTTTCGTTTGCTATTAAAGGGTAGAATTCGCCTGAAAAGAAGTAATTTTTTAGAAACGGACTATAACTTGAACTGAACAACTTGCACATTCTTTTTAATTCACGTGGTCAACTTTGAATAACTCAGTAAATGCTATTTGCGTGATGCATGCCTACTGGAGACTTTCATATATCTATGGTAAAACTTCCATGGCTAAAAGTCATTTAGCTCATTATATTTTGGTCTTGTTTTCGCAATAATGAATAAATGGGGTTGAATTTGCCTGTGGGATGAACTCAACGTTTCTTTTGATGGTAGTGACATTATGTTCTAATTCACTGAAATCAAACATCTTTGAGTGGTGCATCGCAGATTAATTTCCAATTTTTAAGAAGATTGAGTGTTCAATTAAAATAAAAGGTATAGGAATACGTCGAAAGGGATAGGAAAGATCCTAAGCGTGGTTTAAAATCTAGTAAGGAAGCTATGGTTAATGGATCTCAAATCAGGTGACAAATGCGAAATAGGCTTTAAAAAACTTCTGTCATAAAAATGAGAAAACCGGTGTGTAAGGAAAACATAATAATGACTTAACGGCATGCCTTATATATTAGAATTTTAAGAATAATTCGCATAAGTAAATTTAAGCTGAAGTAGCTGGCTCTACTTTCGGTACCTGCTTTGCCATCAAGACACCATTTTGCTCAAAAGCGCACGTAATTTTAATTGTTTTCCACAAAGTATATCAGGACATCACCGTGCTAGCCATAAATATTTCTAAAAACACTTTGTTTTAAACGACCTAATTAATTTTGTTCAAAACCACAGGAATTGTGTATTTACTTTATCTGACATAAACGCCATCATTTCGGTGTTTTTTCATTATTTCCTTTAACATACCTATCCAAAAGACTGCATATTCTGATGCAATTTTCATTTAACAGCACTTTTAAGTTATTTTTAAGAACTATTAAATACTAGAATTAAACAATTTAAATTGTCTACAAAGGTCTACTTAGTGTGATTAACAACTAAGGGCCTGGAGCAATTATGCTACAAATGCCATAATTTAACTAACTTAATAGGTTGTGTACTTATAGTGCTCGCAAAATCCCATCAGTTATATCCCTTGTTTAACAATTCCGACAAAAGTGCTCAACAGTAGCAACCAATGCGCCATGATGGGCATTTAGTTTATATTATTTCCCTGTAATATTTTAGCCTCGAGTAATCTATATAACTATGGAACCTGTGGGGAATTAAATTTGGCTCCCTGATATGGACGTGAATACTAAGATGCAGGATGCTATGGAAGGACTAACTTTTCAAGCAATAGGCGGAAAAAGTGGATTTGCTTATGTGAGCCACACATAGCCTAATCAAGTCGTACTGAACCAACAATGCTTTAAGAAAAAATAGGCGTATTCAGGATTCCTCAAATTATTTTAAATTGTTCATTTTTTAATTTCCTAGTAATTGATTGCAGTAGAGCTTCTATCGAAATGCTATTCGTAGGTACAATCCTATATTTTCATCGTTATTGAATTATTTTTCAGAAAAATGCCTTTTTATTCAACAATTTTGCAAGAAATGGCACGTGGTAAGCGGCGCATTTTTATGAATGCCTACAAATTTTGCGACAAAGGTGTGATTTTAAACGGCAAAGTCCAGTGTACGCACTTTTTCCATAGTAAAAAGAGAATTCTGGAATCCGCAATTTTATTTTACTAAATAAAAGAATATATTACTCAGAATTTCGCATTTAAAAGCCTATCACAAAAGTCATCACTGATGCACTTTTATAATTGAAATTTCTAGCAGTAGGAGTAACTAAGAGCACTTGAGATGCGCGTACTTTGCTATGGATCGAATTTTTAAAATTTTAACTCCTTTTCAGACCCGGAGTCTTGCATCAGGAAACAAATTCTAAAAATTCTTTACGGCATCGTTTAAAGGCGAATATCATGTTTTTCTCTTAACGTCTTTGTATTGAAGGTTAGGAATTTCTCAGTCAATGCAAACCTGCTTGTAATATTAATCTCAGACATTAATCCACTTCAGAATTTGATTTCGACTAGTGGCCTTCTTTCCTTTTAAGAGATCTATAGGATTGTAGAAATTGCAAGTAAAACCTAAAATAGTACGATGATTATAATAAGACACTAAAGTACAACTTATTTAATTCCTGACGAATGACTTAATTGCTTTATTCTCTTATTCATCGATTAATTTGGAGAAACAGTCTGTAGCACATGTACACTTTAAAGTTTCAATATGGGTTTTTGGAGCATATTATTTTGATTGGCGCATCTTGTTAACACTTTTACCAATCGCATTTGGGGGAGATGGATTGAACTGATTTTCTGATATTTGATTGGTCAACTGATGAGTGAGACCACGAATTTAAATCCCATCCACCTGGTAATTTCCCGGCATCAAATCAGCTAAAGCTATCCACAGTAAGTTATAAAACCTTTTTATTCGGATTAGGTTATGCTACTACCAAAAAAAACTCTATACCAAAGCGCTATTATTCCGAACGTCTTATCTAAGCCAGTCATTAGCAAAATATTTTAAATAGCTCCTGTTACGAGGATTATGTAAATTTAATAAATTGTTAAGAAATCATTCTCAACTCACTATACAGAGGGCATTTAAAAATGCTAAACATGCATTACATCAACTATTTGAGTGACGAAGAGCGAAATTTGGCTTAATTGGTTACTTGTATGCTCATCGATAAGTACAATAAAGATTCTCCAAATGCCTACAAGGCTTAATGGTAATGTAAAGTGACTTATTTAAATGTAAATTACACCCCAAAATTTGCATTTTTACTTGATTTCATCCTGTCACATTATTAATGAATCTACGTCATCTTTGATAAGATATAGCTTTAATGATGCACCCATTATTTAATCTTTACCAGCTAATCCATTAAAATGCCGCCAGGTCTTGGACGCTGATATCAGTCCGGGTGTATTTTTTTGCATATATTGTTTTAAATTATGCAGGTACTCACTAGGTAACCAATCTGTTGATTTGACACCATCTGCTTGCACGAAAATTAGCCGAATGATGTATTCTGGCAGAATACAAATTCATTTTTTAATAAATAGAAACATAAAAAAGTGCTACAGACATGAAAAATGCGACTTTGTTGTTACTATAGCCTAAGCATGCCGCATATTAGCAAACGCATCACAGAGCGCTAAAAATAATATCTACTGCTAAGTGTAGTTAGGTGTGATAATAGCGATTGCACATACAGTAAAAGGAGATTACCAGTCACATAACTTTTACACTGTATGTTTGGAATGGTTGAAACATAAAATATAAATGATTCCTGTGGAAATTTGATTTTTTCACTAAAAAAAAACATTTCAAATTGTTAGGCATGTGCGCGACCTCATGCCGATTGAAAATTTTACTTAAAAACGCCTTTAAGTGCAGTCTACTGCCACAGCAGATAAGCATGTCAATTGTTTTAAAATATTATCATGTGCAAAACATTTAATTCAAGTTTTTTTGCTATTTCACTTCTTTTATTTGGGGATTGTTTACTATCCGTATTAACTTGAACGTACTTTAAAGCATTCTAATAGCTTTTATTTATTACCTGGAATATTCAATTGCCAATATTTAAAAAATGATATCAATTAACATAGAAATAGCTCTTAACAGAATATTTTTGCAAGCGGTCACATCTAATACTTCTCTGGCAATTGTCACCTCGGCATCAATTTGGCGTTCACATAAAGCTTTACCCATGCTACATAAAAAGTGGTTGAAAAGTTGTAGAACACTGGAAAGATTGGATTAACACTTTATATTGATAACAAGAGTCTTATTTGTGGAATATAAAAAATAGTGCAAAAATCTAAACGAGTTTTACACAAAACTAACTCTAGCACAGTTTGAAATTGAGCCTTCATTTCTAGATTAAAGCCTATTTTAGCCATGTTTGGTCAAAAAATACCCAAAATGAATTATTAGCATGACCGAAACCCCCAACTACATGTTGGGTTTACATTAAAAATAAACTTGTGCAATGGTTAAAATTAACATTCAAAAACTTAAAATCCAGACACTAGATCATGACTTAGAGTCTGTTTTACAGTTCCTGCCTTACACAATTACTAGCAATGGCCATGGGACTGTCATCGGCAGTGTTTAGGCTTCATCTTCTTCTGCTTCTCGCCTGCCTCGTTTCGCAGCTATTGACTGGTGGATTCGCCACTGAAATTCAGCGACCGCAAAAAAAGCGAATGCAGCGTCCAGCCTTTCTCTTTGATGCCTGGGGCAAACGCGATGCATCGCAGGAACCCTTGTGGAGACTGGTGGGTGAGGATGAGGACAATTACCTTTTCGTCGTTCCCAAGGTTGGCTTCAACTCGGCAGCGGTAAACATGGAGGATGAAGCGGAAAATCCGTTTGAGTTACGGCGAGCGGTCTCCAAACGCGGTGCCTACCTTGACCTGCCCTGGGGCTAATAATATTGACGCGAACTATATGCACTTAGAATCCTCTTGAGACACTTATTCTGTCCATCGACTCCTAGTTAAATGCACTACTTATTCATCTCTTTTCTAAAACCGTGGTGGCATAAACGATTGAAATTTGTCTATTAAACTCAGGTACATGTATTGACTATCAATAGGTATCTGTTTTGGCAACCCATTTTGTGAGTTAAATTGGTCGACTTCCCCACGAGCTATTTTCGGAAATTCTTACTCAAATTTAGTGTCCCACACTACTACTGTGCACTAGACTTATAAACCTTACCTATAAAGCACAATTTTGGTTCAATAAATGCTTGTAGTCAGTAATTGCTATAAGTTGCTGAATTGGGAAAAGTGTTGTCAATTAAAAAGGGACTGGATTGTATTTGCAAGGCTTAAGTAGCTAGTTAAGATAATCAATCACTGATAACAAAAGGTTGACTAGCAAATTCTCTACATTAATATATTTAAAAGTGTTATTTCACTCTTCCAATAATCTCAAGACCCCAAACATGCTTCCTTTTGTGCTAAAAAATTATTGGGAATAATTTTACAGGCACGTGAAGGTTATTCACATTTTATCCATTTTGGTATCTCAGCCAAGTACTTTTCAAACATTGAATACACCAAAATGATAGAATAGTGTAAGTTGTAGAGTTGTTTATTTTCCATCAAAAACAGAAAACAAAATCAAATATCCAAAAGGACTGATCAACACGAAATGTGGGCGATACCAACGCAAGTAGTCTCTGATGGTTACTTACTGTCTAAATAACCATTCTTTGCAAAAATATCTCCTATAATGTATTACATAAATTTTGATGTAATAGGAGCACTTTATAGTGCGAAGGATTATATTGGACATCAAAACCATCCACTTGCCTACCTATTCCTCATCTTTAAAGCATGCTAGACTCTGATTACTGTTACGTAATTTAAATCTTGGATAATTGGAGTAAATGCCAACTTAGATTATTATTTTGAAAAGTATAGACCCAGAAGAGTCCCCTATTTAAAGTTTACTCACTAAAACACGCCCCAAAAAATTCACTCAAATATTTAGCGTGATTTAAGTTCCAAATACCTGAGAGCTCATCGATATGGTGGTAGATGACTTAGCTTTCACTTTCAATGAAATGCGAATTGCCGTCACTCATGCAACCACTTAATTTAAAAACCCACTTAGAAAAGAGCAGCTTGTTCTTTCTTAGACCCGATTCCCCTCCCCTATATGGTTGGCTGATTACATATCATATCGAAAATAGGAATTAGGACAGACAAGTATTTGGATCTTTGCATTCTTATGCATTAATATTAGCAAAATGCACTTTTAATGCTAAACAAATAAGCATGGAACATTTTAATTTTCACTTCTGTATTGAAGCAGACCCTATCAGTAACAATATAAAAATTCACGGAAAATATTTAAAATACGTAAGAAATGCAAATATTACAAAAACAAATCAGAAATGAACGGTCGTACCTATTTTTAAATCATCCATAGTTTCTCAGATTTTCATTACTCACAAAAAATTTAATGTGTGTGTGCGGTTAAGCATTAATTCCAATTTAATTCCTTTTAATTAATAATAGCCTCCATACAGCTTTAAATTCAACAAAATTGTGTTTCATTAGACTGGTGGTTCTAAATTCACTTTGCAGACTCCCTATTCAGGACCTATAAACTCTTGAATACTCGCCTACATCATTTAAATTATTTTTCTAAATAAGGACATGAAAGCCATTTTAGATAAAATGACAAACATAAAGCACCTAAAATGGATCTTGTATGTCTTTCATAACGGTAAGTATGCTCGATTTTAGGTGTTCCCAGTCTCCTTTGTTCATATAATTACTTAAACTTCATATATATGAGAGAGCTGTTCCCCCACTCAGTGAACAAAACTTCTTTTCTGTGATTATGCCTTTTTAAAATAAAGTACCTTAAGCGTTCCTAGATTTTACAACTTTACGAACGTGACAATAACTTTAATAAACGTGGTTTGCAACAAATAAAGACTGAATTCCAGCTGATGTTTCTAGATCTCCAGTGAATGTCCCCAGCGCAGCTTCGCTGTTGGCCTAAAAAATAAAACATATTCATTCAAAAATGGGGAAGAATTATGGGTATCGCTTCTCCTTTATTATTATAAAACAGCTTATATTCTAAATTTAATTTTAAGTTAACCTTATAAATGTAATAACCTAGTCTGGGAATCTTTCAATAAGAATATTTTGGCTTTAATAAATCCCTTTCTTACCTTGCAGAGCTTGATGAGTTCGTGCTGAGCAGCTGGAACATTCTCTTCCCTGCCCGACCAAATTTTAATGACCGAAGCCTGGAGCGCTCGACCGAAACTAAACGTGAGCGCCCATGGCTTTTTCATTGAGCACTGGTTGATTGCATTTAGATTTTTCGTTGCGTCTACCTCTGACATCCCGCCAGAGAGAAAGGTTATGCCTTAAACAGAAGGTAGGAAGCAACTTGACCTTTTGATGAACCTTGATTAATAAATAACTTTATCCTCCATTAACGTATATACTTCGTCTACAAAATATTTTGGCTTCAGTCAAATCATTCATAGAATGGATTCACTCAATTTCAGGTAATTTAAAGGAGCCTATTTAACTCAATCTATCGATATTAAACTAGACAATGTCATACAAATCAAATCAAAAATGCGGGGGTGAAAACCTTATTGTCGGGAATCATGAAATTATTTCTTTTCTTTCGAGTTATATTTGACAATGATTTAACAATGCTTCTAGCAAGTTCTCATAAAAACCAGTAGTTATTCTTCAGTTAGCATTAATTAAAAAGGGCAGTTCAGTTTCGATTAAGTTGACATTGTACAAATCAATGATCTGTCACATTCTCTAAATAAGAGAGGAGAAAAAAGATGTTATTTTGGCTATTTAAACGCTCAACCACTTGATCTCACCAGGAACCGCAGCAGGGACACGGCGCTGAAGAGTCTGTACGGTGGCAACGGCATTCTGTTCCAAAGAGAAGGTGCATGGACAGTCATGTCCTGCAGTGACCATATTGGGTTTCAGCAGCGTTCCCTCCAAATAGACGTGATGATCAGCTAGTGCCTTATACTGAAATGCCAGTACCTCTTCCGTCACTCTCTGTGCAACGTAGAGATCATGCTTTCCGTCTGGAAGAACTTCTGGTTCTACGATTGGAACTATTCCATTCTGAAATCAAGCAATCATTTAATGATGTGGTGTATCTATTCAACAGCTACTTTAAAGGTTATTATATCAACTTAAAGCATCTTTACTAGTTCTTGGTATTGCAAGACTTAAAATTAACACTGGCTACTGACTAATCTAGCTAAGGAGCCATTTCGGAGCTTATTTATTAAGGGCATTTATGTGAAAGCCTTTTTTTGTTTTGTTGGCTTCGAACTTGTGAAACTAGTTAAGGCAGTCAGAAGAGTAATATTTAAGAATGTGGATAATCATATATTAGCAACAAAGATTCCTCCCAAACGTTCACTAATTACCAAATTTTAGACGCTTTATTATTTTTACTTTTCTTGATCTGAATACTTGTAAAACGTATTTTGGTGATTTGAAGGAGAAAACACTGGCATCACTAATTAAATGAGCTTGCCTGTTGACAAATTACAGCATATCTGGCTAGAACATTAGCATTCTCAAGCATAGCAAGGTAGCTGGGTGTGTGTTCAGTTATTTTCAAAGCACATCTCCACTTGGCGAAATGGCATCCCCTTTTTTTGTAATCCGCACACCTTTCAGCCAAGTCGTCTAGACCCTGTGTAGTGTTCTCGCCTCTAGTCCCGGCCAACGGCTTGAGCCCCTTGTCTACTTTGATTCCGGGGATTATGGAACGTTCCTAATGCGGAACACAGACTTTTTTGTTATCATAACTTGCCTCTAGGAGTGAAACTAAGGGCTTTCCATCGTCCGTCTTTTGGAAGACTGTATCGTGGAACAAAATCACTCCAGAGATGTACTTCGAGATAATCACATCCGCAGAGAATAATATTTCTCGGTATTTGCGACGATTCTGCTCTGTATTTGCTATGTGTTCAGAGTCAAACCTCTTTCCAATGGTGGCTAAGTAATGATAATAACATTATGGAGTTGTTTACTTACACACACTTTCATCAGCTGCAAGAATACCTTTACCAGGCGCAACAATAGCCTTGGCAATATCTCGCAATTCGGTGAGTTTCGTCTCTGGAAGGTATTCAGCAAAACGTAGGTAGGTTGGTGATGCAGTTCCACCACCGACGCCACCATCACCATTCGTCTCCATTTTGATCTCTATTGATTGAAATCCTTTTAAAAGTAGCTCCACGCATTCAATCAGCTGTTTTTCTCCCGACGCAATGCTTGATTTCGACCTCACTATGTCTTGACCAGTTTATTTCTTTTTGAGGTATTCCCTTTTTGGTAGACCTTTGTTATAGTTTTGGTTGCTTAAGAAAACTGTTCTATAATTATTAAACCCACACAATGCGTTGGCTAGGTAACAACTACTACAAAGACTCGAAACGAACATTAACCAACGTTGTAATTAAGAGCATAATAAAAGTGATTTCAAAGATATTGGACGGTATAAGATTGCTATATTTTTGCATAATTCTAATTCCTGTCATTTCTGCCCTTTCTGGATAGCGAAGATGAATATTTTGAGAGGAGTAGGGGTACAACCCAACACTGGAAAGTAAAAAACCGCGAGGATAATTGAACATTTACTAAAACTGATTCTATTTATGAGAGTTGCTATTCACTTCTCCCAGATTTAATTAAATTCTGTAATTTTGCTAATGCATTTCGGGCACAGGTTTACATTCATATTGTTTAACAGTCATAAAATGTTGAAGATTTTTAGTATTTGAGGAGCAAACTGTGAGATAATGCCTTATTTCTTCTGTTGGTAAAGACTGATGAAAAAAACATCTTGATACTTTTGTGTTGAAAGGACTTGAATACACCAATAGGTGTTTTCAACTTGTTCTTAGGAAAGGTGAGATTTGAGCGTAACTTTAAGAAACATCTCAAGATGTATAACCGCAAGGTGATGAAAGAGAAACAGAAACTTTTCAAGTTTTCTTAAGCATAATTTGAGACTACTTTGGGTATAGCGTCACAAAAGCATATGATGGTGTTTGTCATTACCACTATCTCGAATTTCCTATTCATGAGATTTAATAAATAACAGCTGCTATGCAATGTGCAGGGTCACGATTCAGAAAGCTCATTTAATATTTTGGATGGCTTGAAGGTGTTACAACAGTTGCCAGCTCTGTGAACGCCTACGAGAAGTCACATTAATCTAGATGCACCATTGATAACTTTAAGATAAAATACATATATACACTTTTTTGAAAAATTTTGTCGAAATGTTTTCAGAGGCATAAAATAGTCGTCAAATTCAGGAAGAACTCTTTGTTACAGAGTTAAGTATGATATCATTATGGACGATAATTGGCAGCTCAGTTGTCTCAACTTTGCCGAAGTTATATTCAATCATTCAAAAAATCCCATGTTTGAACGGAGCGAACTCCGATGCCATTAAATTAATTAGTCCGTCGTACCAGGAAAGCTGTTTAATGTACTGATAGAACCCATTAAAAAGGAAAGGGATGTATATTCACATAGAAAAGCCTTCAGTAATGATGGGCATCTAGTAGCGCAGCTCATAGGAACGCCCTGAGTTAACGGTCTCTGTCAGTTTCTTACAAAAGCAGAAGGAATGAACAGTATGGGAAAGCATTATGTGGATAGGTACTAGTCCGGAACCAAAAAACATGGAGTAAAATTGTCCCAAGTGTGCTTTTGTTTCCTGATTTGAGTTCGGTAGACTTTAGGTAATCATTGGTTTTTCAGCAGTCTGATATGTTTTATCAACAGTTCATTTTTGATCTGTTCATTGTAGCGCAGTATTATTTGCAGTGGCTAGTTCGTGGATGTTCTAAAATGTGTCATTGTGCTTTCAAATGCCTCAATTCATAGTTCAGTAAGTTTATTTTAAACTGATACCGCTAATTATTCCATTTGCCAGATATTCAATCAAGCAGTAATATAAGGATGCTCATAGATTCGATCTTCTATTTAGTTGAGCCGTTTTCAAAGCATTTAGCCCAACTCGTCCTTTTTTGTTGACTCTCTTGGGGCTGGGAATCACACTGACTAAGAGTTTTTACTAAAATTGATGTGGAACGTGATAGAAAAACATATCAGCATTTGCTTATGGACCAAAATGACAGGCGAATTTGAAACCAGGTTTTAAGATTAATCCTATGGCTTTTGGTAGAGCTCGCCGCAATGGCCTCTTGTAGCTTGTGGAAACTTGTAGAAAACATTCAGCAGGTGTGCGTCTGTCTATCTTCACAAAACCTTTTACTGTGCTTCTTACTACTTTCCTTTTACTTTGCTACTTCGTTACTTCCA